ATCACTTCGGAGTGCAAATGAATACTGTATATGTTAGAGATCACCCTTGATTTTCTTACTGCAAAATTGCCCATCTTGAAATTCTAGAAAAGCTGAGAATAGAAACCTTTCATTAGATGAGAGTTTGAGAAGCCCATTGTGAATAAGGAGCACATCTAAAATAAAATAAAATAAAATAAAATAAAATAAAATAAAATAAAATGAAACAGAACAATATTCTCAAATAAGCAGTTGCCCTCTCTCCTCTCCTATTCCTCCCGGACATGGTCCAGTGGCCCTGGATGAACGAGACCCTGGGGCCATGAGCAGAAAGACAATTCATAACAGAAAATTTCTTCTTTAGATTTCATGTTTCAAAACCAGAGACAGGAAGTTGGGGGGGAGTATACTGAGACACATTAATATATAAGACATAGGTTTTTAGTGAATGGAAGGAAAAAATTCATACAAGTAATAGAACTTTGGGAATGTGACATTATTTATATGTTATGCTTTAAAACTTGGCTGAATCCATATTTCATTTAAACAAGAAATCATCCCAAATATTATACCAAAGAAATCTAGTTTATAATACACACTTACAAAGTTCCACATACATATCTGTAAAAAACCTCCTCCTTATCACTCCCCCAAAACCCCATTAATTTAGTACATTTTTATTGCACTAAACGAATTATCAAATGACAGTTTTCATAGAGGTAAATGCATATTTACTCATTTGCATCAAAAAACTCTCTTCCTTTCATGTTTCTTCATAGTGATTACTATCGAAACTACCCAGATAATTGAAGCACATTTAAAAATTTTTTGATAATATTTTATTGATTTACAGTACTATCTAATTTTCAGGAGTACATCTTCATACCTCTATTTGGGTATAAACCTCACCTTACCTCCCCTGACTCCCAAAATTCTAGAGCCACTTCCACTTCCAGAGTGACTCCTCTACCTTTCCTCTGACTTCCCTTCCCCTTCCTGTCTGTATTTTACAGAGCCTAAGAGTCATTTTTGTTGTGCTTTATTAGTTTTCTTATTTTGGTGATTTATAGTCCACATATGAGAGAATCTATTTGGTCTCTTACTTTTTGACTTATTTTGCTTAGCATCATCACCTCAAGTTTCATACATGTTGTTGTAAAAGCAAAATTTCATTACTTTTAGTAACTGAGAAGGATTCCACTGAGTATATATACCACAATTTTTTTTATCCATCTGTCTGCCAATGGATATTTAGATTGTTTCCATGTCTTGACTATTGTGACTAATGCTGTTAACATAGGGAAGCTTATATCTTTTTGGATTAGTCTTTTCATGTCTTTCAGATAAATACTTAGGAGTGTTACTACTAGATCATATGGTGGCTCTATTTTAATTTTTTAAGGAATCTCCATGTCATTTTCATAGAAGTTGCCACAATTTACATTCCCAACAACAGTGTACAAAAGTTCCTTTTTCTCCACACCTTCGCCAGCACTTGTTGTATCCAGTCTTTTGACATGGGTCACTGTGGGTTTGATTTGTATTTCCTAATAATAAGTGAAGTTGAGCATTTTCCCATGTGCATATTGGCCATCTGTATGTCTTCTTTGGAGAAGTGTCTATTCTGGTCTTTTGCCCATTTTTTGACTGAGTTATTTTGCTTTTTTGTTCTTGACTTGTATGAGTTCTTTATATTTTTTGAATATTAGCCCCTTGTCGGACATGTGGTATTCAAGTATCTTCTTTTCCAGTCGTTAGGTGACCTTTTTGTTTTTGTGGTGATTTCTTTCACTGTCAGAAAGCTTTTAGTTTGATGTCATCTCATTTCTTTATTTTTTTATTTTTGTTTTCCTCACAGTTTCTTCTATATATTTTAAAGTGACAAGGCTTAATGCAAACTCTTACTTTCCCCAACATTTAGAGCACTTCCTGCCAAAGCTCCATTTCCTACTAAGTGATTTTGTACTTCACCCTTGCCCCCAGACTCGTGTGTTGTCTCTGATATGGAGCTTTATTTCACAAGCTCCATGAGGTTGAGGAAAGGTGGTCACAGAATTTGGATGAGGGAGAGGAAGAAGGACAGCCTGTTCATTTTGGATTTTGTCTTCCAGAACTCTCTCTCCATTTTCCTGGCTCCTCTAGTTTCAAGTCATTCTTTTTGAGGCCCTATGTGTGCAGATTATCTACACGCACCCTGTGGCTGCCGTGATGACAGTGTGTGGGCTTGTCCCTAGTGGTCCCTTTAGTTTTTCAAGCTTGTCTCAGAGCACAGGGGAGTGGTCAGACTAGAAGGAAGTGGATGCTGCAGTACCCATAGCAGATAACGTAGAGCTGTGTGGGACCCCAGGCCCCTTTAAGGGAAGGACCTGCATGAAGAATTGGTTAAGGAAAATACTCACATATACTCTTTCCTCGGCTGAAACAATAGCAGCTGTTGCTTTATTTGATTTCAAGGGAAAAGGGTGAATATGCAGAGGTTGGTCAGGCCTCTTAATTGATTATTAATTCTCCATTTGGAAATCATTGCTAAAAAATTCCTGAATGGTTGTCCTCGGCTACATCCAAATTAGAACCTATGGAGAAAATACTTTCATATTGGTTTTCATTTTTCTAATTAAAAATATATATATATGAACTTCATTTCCTGTGCTTGATAGCCCCATAGCTGCAGATTCAGGGATAATTTCCCCCATTTCTCCTCCCACGATCCAGGGGAGGGAAATTTAAGCCTCCTCCTTTGTTTGCCAATTTGGTTTCTAGAGCTCTGCCTTGACCACTTAGTGCTCTCTCTGAATAGCCATAGGTCGGGAATAGTGGGCAGCAACGTCAGAGAAGTGTTGGCGTGAGACCGGAACAGCCCCACAGAATAGAAGGCAAGAGGGAAAGAAAGCATCTCAGAGGAAGAAAATACTGCTGCCTGGTACCCCTAGCAGAGATATCCGGCCTATTGTGCCCACACTGCTCCCCAGCTGAGGAATCACAGGCTTCAGTGGGGTCAAGCTCAGGCAATGATGGGAAGGAGAGTCCCTTCTGAGAAAAATCCTTTCAAGCGAAGGGAAGCCAAGATATTTTGAGATGTGATTCTGACCTGAAAATGAAAATGAAAATTCTCAAAACACTTTGAGAACAGATTAGCTCATTTTTAATGTTGGTAAATGTTGATGTAGTGCCTTCCCTATAAAGGGATACTTAAGCCTGGATTTCAAGAAAGTGGGCAAGAATAAAAGAAGATAAGTTCTTGGGTCCAAAGCCAAAACTGGCCTCCTTTGTGGGGACAGTAATTGGTTTTCTCAGGGGCAAAAATACATTTAATTAAATTACATATGATCTGGGTTCAAGTTCCAGTCCTTAGAGGATTACTTAACTGTTTTTTAATCTGTCTTAGGTTAAAAATAAGAATATATCAGGTACTAAGTAAGTGCATATTATGAAAATTATGAATGATGATTTAAATATAAATGAAATTATATATTGATGGCCCTAGCTTCATTTCCCATGTCACCTCATTACCATTGTATTAAGATCTGGGGGCAAACTCAGAGGGCTGTCTAGCAACCATGGACACTTTTTTTTAAATACTTTACCTTATGCCTTGGGGAAGGAAATTCTATGGGGACTCAATCTGAGGGGGTGGGGGGAAACAAATATTGTCTAAAAAATGAAAAAAAAATTGATAAATGTTAAAATTAAATAAATAAATAAATAAATAAGAAACTCAAGTTCAAATTATCTCAGCTCTTGTTATATCCAGATAAATTGTCTTATTATAATTACCTGCAAGAAAAAGATGATAAAAAATAAAATAAAATAAAATGCTTTACGTTATTCTAAATATGTTGGTATGAACAGAGTCACTATGTAAATATTAAACCACTACTACCATCTGACACTGATCACTGAAATAGATTGCAACTTTTTAATTCATTTATAAAAACACAACTTTAGTAAAGAAAATAATCTGATTAACTGTAATTGGATTATACGATGGATTATAATATTTTCATGGGATGGGGCCAGAGAAAGAAGAAAAGTAAGGAAATAGCTAATGAAAGTCAAGAGTCCATATTATTAGAGAAAATTTAGTTTTTAGAGGATTTGTGTCATTTTCAATTTTTTCCCCATCTCAAGAGGCAGTAAGATGTGTTCCATTTGCCAGAGCAGTTCAGAAAATCTTACAAGTCCTGCCTCCCTTCTCACCTAGGAAAACACCTTGTAGATTTTGAAGATATCCTGAAAATGAGAGGAAGAGCAATGCTTAGTGTCAGACAAGGTACTCCAGGACTATGGGACAAGGTAGAGGAAGGTAGAGTGCAAAAAGTGAAAAGACACCCACCAAAATTATTGCCTTTTTAAAAAATTGTATTAGATGAGATGAAGTGAATCAGCAGAGCAGCTATCTGAGAACTTTGGCCTTAAACCCAATGTTTACTTTAAATTCAAACTGAAGCTAAATCACTAGGTAATCAGAATAATAAATTTTACAGTAAAACACCAAAAAAAAAAAGACTCATATATATATAGAAAATAATAATTCTTCTAAAAGACTTTAATGGCAATAAATGTGTGAGTCATCACAAGGCTTGAACTTAAGGTATGCTTGGTTTGTCCTGCTGGAAGTTTTTTAAAACATCTCTTCATATACCCACAGACACACACAAACATTCACACAACTCACTATTCACACTCATAACTTCCCTAACTAGTAATAACCTAAGAAAGCATTTAATTGACCTTTCAAATCATTAGAGAGTTGTATGGAATCAACTCTTGGGGCAGAAAATGGATGATCTCACATGTTGGCTGGCAGAGCTAATGCCTAGCAACTCTGTGGCTTTTCCTTCTTCACTGTCTGTGGTAGCCTGATTAAATTCGGTGCCAAGTTCTAATAACATGTGTAAAATCCCATTTCAAGGTGGGATGAGGGTAGGGGAGTGTAGAAGGAAATGCTATTCCCATGACCTTCCACTGGAGAACTCCCTGGACTGAATTCCTGAAACTCTCCTTCTGTTTGCCTTCACCAGGAATGGCGGCCCTAGATAGTAAGGCGTCAGGGAAGATGGGAATGCGAGCTGTAGTCTATTACATGACTACAACCATCATTGCCGTGGTGATTGGCATAATCATTGTCATCATCATCCATCCTGGGAAGGGCACAAAGGAAAACATGTACAGAGAAGGCAAAATTGTACAAGTGACAGCTGCAGACGCTTTCCTGGATTTGATCAGGTATGTCCTTGTAAGCCCGTCCCTCTTACTTGGAGTTCATCAAACCCTGGAAGAGGTGTCTAACTGAACCAGCCTTACTAGGCATGTCATGCAGGTCACATCTTCACTTCTTTCTGGCAGAAATTAAAGGGAGGATCCATTTTCTCATCTCAGAAAGTTCTGCGTTTAGGACTCAGACTCTGCTCACCCAGTTCATCTCTCCACTGGGCAGCTCACCTTGGAATATTAATAATTCTTAACCTATTTTTCTCAATTCTTACTCTTTGCCATGAGCTTTTATTCAAATAGAGCCTGTTTATTGGACTCTTCTTAGTTAAAACATGTAAGCTGTATCATCTCCCATCATACACAATCTATTTCCAGACGGACTTTAGAGATCATCTAGTGAGATCTTGTCACAGGGTTTCTTTTTGTACTGTTTCTGAAGAAAGAATTTGGCAGATGAGCACTAAAAAACTCCAGGATAGTTTCTTGAATGTTGTTTCATGTATAACAACACACTGGTTACAAATGGGTCTTATCTAACACTTGAAACAGCTTTGGTAGTAGAGTCAAACTTAACACAGAACTTTAAAGTAAGCTTGATCCTAGCCCCTTCCTGCTCGCTCTCTGATACCTGCCCTTGCACCAGTCAGAGCCTGGCAGGAAGCAGATTCATATTCAAAAGAATCATTGAAAAAAGGTTTGCAAAGGTGTAGGGAGGGGAAAGACTCCGGTGGGAGGGGACTAACAGCAATGGGAAGCAGTTCTGTGAACACTCCTGGCTCTGAGGGGGAAAGGAAGGAGCTGTGGCCTTGAAAAACTTCCCCCAGGAAAAGAGCTAAAGCTCCAATTTGGGGGGAAAAAAATATCTAAACACAATGAAGTAGAGCTGAAAGAAATATGCATCCACTACTCTCTCCTACTACCCTGTGATCTGTCAGCACACCCCACTGGCATAGAAGGCATAAGAATCCACATGCTACCGTCCAAGGGACTGGCCACCTAGGGTACAGAGCAGGATAGAAGGGCAGGATAGACTGGATCTAGAAGGGCAAATGGAAGATATCACAGGACAGGCCTCTAGACGGCCTCTCTGCTTAGCATTCCTCCATTATGAAGCTCCCAACTGTCCTTTCTTTAGAACTTACATGCAAAGTGACTGGTTTACCAATCCTAGATACTTATTCTAAAGAGATCCCCTTTCATCATCTAAAAGAAACTTCTCCTAGAGGCTTGCTTTCACATGCTATCTTAATGGGTCTGTTAGATTCAAGGGATATTTGGGGAACAAAGGGTCTCCAGTTGAATTTCTCATTTCCCACCATGGGTGACTTTGTACCATCTGTATGTGAGCAAACCCAGCTCCACAGAGTCTCCCTTGAAAGTCTTTCCCAAGAAGTTCATCACAATGATAACAAGCCATCCTTTATAATTATTTCATGCCAAGTTGTCATCTGGTAACTATCATTTTATTCAGATTCATAGTTTTATTTAGTTCATAGTTTATTTGGTTCATTAAGACTTTTCACAATTTTTTCATGAACTTTATGCTCACATCATTGGGTGTAAGCATATTCTCTCTGTTTATAGTATCTACTCTTTGCTTGAAAAATTGGGTTCTTGTAATTCTCTGTCTGGCTGATCCATCACAGCTCCATGTGTTTCTGTTCCTCCTTGCCCCAGTAATGAGTACATGACTACCCAGTCTGCACACAATCACTTAGCTAACGCATTTATCCTGGAATCTCTTGAATGCACATTTTCATCAGGATTTATACATACAGGCCCATAGAAGAGAAATGGGAAGGAAAAGGAAACAAAGTGGTCTAGACAGTAGGTAGGGACAAGAGTTTATAACCTTAAAACATGACTTTGATAACATACAAAGATGGGAATCTTGGGCACCACAACTGCCCAAGTCATATCTCCTTCTCCCAGTCTTCAATCTCAGAACATTAAAGATAGTTTAATCCAATCTCCTCTTTAACAGATGGGTCAACTGAGACCTAACTAGGTGCCATGAGTTGGTCAAGGTCACACAGTTAGTTAGAGTCTTCCCCATTAGAGACTTGTCCCTTATACCCTCCCCCACCTCCATAAACTGAAACACTTCTCTGAAGAAGTGACAGACTCTTAAGTTATGGACTTCAAATTCAAATTTTGTGGGTCATTTCCTCATAGGTCAACAAAGATGTTCCAACGCTCCTATAATAGCATTAATACTGCATCCCCTAGAGGGTCTTCGGAAGACTTTTTGGAGAGCAAATTCCATAGGCTGACCATGACTTTTGATTCAGAACATTTGGTCCCTAGGCACACTACCAAAATACCCACTATGGAATAATACTTGATTAACCAAAATGCTTATGACAAGACATTTCCATTCTCATTTTGATTCTCCTTGGGTGTAGGTATTGATGATATAATGTCAGAGAATCCCACTGTCTCATAAAAGAATAGAAGAGTTGGCTTTGGGACTTCCCTGAAAAATGTGAACAATCTGAGCTACCCTTAGGGATGACCACATGTCCCGTTTCAAGTCATAAAATCCACCAAAATCTTTCTTTTTTCCATGTTCAAGTAATCTTTACCGGAGAAAGTATTTAAGGTACACATTTAATATCTGAGAAATTTTTCAAGTGACTATTATTTTCTTTCCAGGAATATGTTCCCTCCAAATCTGGTGGAAGCCTGCTTTAAACAGGTAAACATTCTACAGCCACTAATTTACTATTGAAATTCCTTTTTGGAATTTAGAATTCCAAATAGAACTGTACCCCCTTTTTAATTGTATTTTTCCCATTTCTCTGCAGTAAGAAACATTTCTCTTGTCAACCAGATTGAAGCACAAGGTTTTTCTGGAAAATTGGGATGGGGAAGGGAGGGCCTTACCTTATATTTCAAGGCTAATTACTTGGCCAGACACTGTATGCCGTGCATGCAAATAGCTCACTGAGTCTGTACTCACTGTTCAGAAATCTAGTCAAGAAACTCCCTCCTTCTCCACATCCCCGTGTTCCAAATACAAAAACCCAGCAAGCAAGCTCAGATATAAGGTAGTTTTATAACTTGCTTTAATTACTAGGGAAATTATTCAAACTTCTGGGTTTGATTTTTTTAAAATTCAGTGGGTTGTTTTTTAGTAGTCTACTACTGAACTTAGGTATTCTACAATAGGATAAATCATATAAAAATGAATGGTACCATATTTATTAAATCCTGGATATATGCCAAGCACTAATGTTAGATTTAGTCCTCACATAAATGTGATGAGTATTGCTTCTTTATTTCACTGATGAAATGACTCATCTATGATAACTCAGGGGGGTTATGTAACAGGCACAAGATATCCCAAGTAGTAAATGTCATCCCCAGAAGTCAAAGCCATTGTGTTAACTCCAAATTCTATTTTCTTTCTTCTACTACTACATTCTGCTTCAAGATAGAGATATCCAGGGTCATGGGACACCTACCTGGAGGCTATATTGAAGTCTGATTCCTTTTAACTCCATTGCCAAACAACTCCTAGCTCACACTATTTTTGTACAAATACATTTTACTACTAGAAAATCAAATTAGTCAAGTTTATTCTCACTTTACTTGAGTAAAAGTGTTTTGTTGCCCAATTTTTGAAAAAGAGAGAATTAGGCATTCTGAATTAGATAATGGTTACCAAACTTTTCTCCACATGGTATCACTTTAGCCCCTTCTTGTAATTCCCAAACCCTTCTGTTTAGGATCTTTAAAGCAAACAGAACAAAACCCTGACCTCATGGAAGATCAATTTTTACACATATAAGTTATCCTTTGGATTTTTTTCCCATTTTTAAAAATTGTATTGATTCTTTTTAATAGGAATACATGCATACACTGCAAAATTATGAGTCCTTTCTTTTAAAAAAGCCTAAGAAGCCAAAATCTAGCTTTCTTTAGTCAAAAACAACTGTGACCATAAATAATAAAGCCTTTTCAATGTTAACAGTCATCCCCAGCACCCTGGGCACAGTTAGTAGTTGGCATTGGGCAACATTAAAAATGCTGATTTCTAGCAGCACTGGGCTGACTCAGGCAGATTTATTGTGTTTGGTTTTGGATTGCATTTATAAGATTTTGAAAGGGAAGCAAGTGTATCTTCCCACATCTACTTGTCTTAGGCCAAAATGCAAACCAGGGCCTCCCCGGTGGTGCAGCGGGTTGAACGCCATGCTGTGAATCTGTCCACAGCCTCTACAGTGTGGCTTCGATTCCCAGTCAACGAGGAAGAAACCCACAGGGCACGGCAGACCTCTCCTGTCTTGCCTGCTGCTCGCCTCAGCAGTGTATTCCGTCTGTCTGCTTGTTCTGCTCCCTGCTCTGTCTCTGGTGAATTCTCACCCTCCTGGGCCTCTGTACCCCAGTTCTTGTATAAATAAATAAATCTTTAAAAAATGCAAAACAATCTGCAGTTTCTGTGTAGGCTAAGGGAAAAGAGTTGGAGGCATAAGAAAGCTTGCTCAGTATTGGAAAGCTACCCTAGGGAAAGATTAACATACATAAACACCCCAGTGTAATAAGAAGATTTGAGAGTTGCCTGGAATAGATGAGGAGAGGCCAGTTACCTTGTTACTTGAAATTATGAGCAGCATCACTGGCTGTTCAGGGATGTGTGTACAGTATGGACAGATGCCCATGTCTTTGTTTGAAAAGAATGGTTCTCCTTTGGACAAGAACATCTCCCATTTGTTCTTAGTAAAGAAGTGACTACGCACTTCATGTACAACTGTGTTTTCCTCCCCTAGACTCTAGATGTAGTCAACATCTTTGCATTATTATTCTTTCTGATACTTTGCTACCATCATCATAAAGGCCAGGAATTCTGCTTTCACTACAATAATAAAGAGAAGAGCTTGTTGCATATGGCCACAGCACTGTGATGGAATCTTCGATCCGGGGTATCTATGCAGTAGCCATGGGGAAAATACAATGTCTTGACAAGGAGAGAAACACCTCTATTGACTTCAAAAGTGGGTTGTCATAAAATCAAGCACCTATTCTCAAGAATTGATGGAAAGAATGTCAGGAATGTCTCATGATATTATTGTGAATATTTGGATTTATAATTTTTTTAAAGTCCACTATAGTCATTTTATGTGTTTTATAAGAAAGCAAAGCACATGTGCATGTATAGTTCAAAACCTTTGGCCAGAAATTGATTTCCTGTCATGATTTGTGATGTATTTGCATGTTTCTGTCTGTGCTGAGGAAGTAGTAAGAGTTTACTATAGATTACATATATTACATACATGATGATGATGAAGATTATAGAAGGAAAGAAGGGAGGGAGGAAAAATAAGAGAGGATGGAAGGAAGGAAAGAGAGAGAAGGAAGCTTTCTATAACGCTATTCTCTGAATACAAAAATTCTGAACTACAGGAAAGTACAAATATGAAAGCAAAAGTCACCTTTAATCCCTGTTGTGCTTTTTCTTTTCAAGTTCAAAACCAACTATGAGAAGAGAAGCTTTAAAGTGCCCATCCAGCCCAACGAAACACTAGTGGGTGCCGTGATCAACAATGTATCCGAGGCCATGGAGACACTCACAAGGATCAAAGAGGAGTTGGTGCCAGTTGCGGGGTCTGTGAATGGGGTCAATGCCTTAGGACTAGTCGTCTTCTCCATGTGCTTCGGCTTTGTGATTGGAAACATGAAGGAGCAGGGACAAGCCCTAAGAGACTTTTTTGATTCTCTTAACGAAGCCATAATGAGATTGGTAGCAGTGATAATGTGGTATGTATTTCCATTTGCTATATATGCCATATACATGATGCTTATTATCAAACTATGCTCTGTACCAAGGAAGATGCTAGTAGGCAGGATGACCAATTACAACGATCTCATTCTAGAAAGCACAAGAAAAGCAAGGATTTTCTAGGTCTGTAATGACCTTGAACTGATATACAAGTCTTTCTTATTAAGTTTGCTTCCTTGTCTTTGAAAAGCATCAACTCCTTTACCCCCATGTTGACAGGATTGCATTTCTCCATTTGATATCTATTTAATTATTCAACACATTTATTGACCGTCTGCTATGTGCCAAGCATAGGATGCCAGGTCCTGTGTATATCACAATGAAGAAAACAAGACAAGGATGCCCTGAATTCCACATTCTTTTAAGGATGACAGAAAATAAAGAAACAAATCAACCAACCTTATGTTTTAGTCACAGATGCTGTGAAAATAAAATAAAAGGACAAGTTTCTTTTATGTGGTATAATGTGATGTGATAAAAAGTGACCGTGAAGGAGACGTAAAATTTGCCTTGGATAGTGCAGAAAGGCTCTGAGGGGATGGCATTTTTTTTTTTTTTTTTTTTTTTGCTGAGTTCTGAAAGACCAGAAGCAGACAGCCCTACAAAGCACCAAGAGAAGAAAATTCCCAGTACAAGGAAAAGTAAACAGAGAGGCCCCTAGAGCATCAGAAAAATTTACATCTCCTCTCCTCCATTCCAACCCTTAAAAGAAAGAAATGTAAATAGCTGTTCTGCATGCCCCCAGCACTCTAGGGAAGTATTTTAGAATGCCAAGTCAAAGCTTATTGCAAAACTACCTTCAAATAAAATTGAGACACAAGACAAAGGAGAAGACTGCATCCAAACAGGAATATTAACCTTGGAAAGTAAACTCTCCCCAGCAGGGAGAGAACCCTTGGATTGGGGTTGCTTTTCCTTTATCCTTTAGTTTACCCCATATTTTTAATCCAGATCCTTTCTTGGCACCTGAGGCAGGAAAGCATCCATTTCTAAGAAAAGCACTCACAACATGATTAAAAATATCCTTTGTCTTCATAGCCACTAAAGCACAGAGAAATCCATTTTTCAGGAGTTTGTACAAGATGGATATGAACTTGGGCACAAAGACCTATCAGACTGTGGTCTCCACAGGAGCCCCCAGTTGAAATCCTAGGGGCCCTCCTTTGAAATCCTGGCAGGGCTAAAAGTGGACATTTATCTTCGTATTATTAAAATGCCTCCACCTTTCACCTCCTTTATGAAAGAAGCCCATTCAAGACCGCTGAATGAACCTCACATGTAGCTTTTCTAGCTGTACATTCGCTTGCACATTCAACATTGAGTTATTACATTTCTGAAAACAGGTACTCTTATAATTTCCTGGCCTGTGTTTTTAAAGGACTTTTAAAAGAAGCATTGTATTTTTCAATTTGAAATAAGTTTCCACAGTTTGCAGCAGACCCTTTCCTTAAGGGTGATTGGCCTCTTTTTGAAATGAGAGGTTGGTTGTCATTTACTGCACACGTCAGACAAAGAGAGTTGAAAGCCAGGTGGCCTGGCCTTGAAGCAACCAGAGTTGTTTCAATAAATACAAGTCACTCTGTGTCTCATTTGCTCATTCTGTCTGAGCCTCCAGGAGAAAGATCCCAAAGACAGTAGCCTCCTATGGATAGTCACAACTTAATTAGAACTCCTATCATCTGATTGTAATAGTGTACACATGCACCCAATTCATTTTACTAGCTCTGAAATTTATTTCATAGTTACTTCCTATTTATGGCAAGTGGTACTAGTTTTCCATTTGCACTATGACATGAAATTTCCTTAAGTAAGTATCTAAATTAAAAAGTTGATTTGAACACTAAGTCATAATATAAGTGGTGTGTAATATGGAAAAAAAAAATAGCAAGGCCATTCTCTCCTTTGAGAGCTCTGACTTCAGTGTAAGACTCTGCGATGGCATTATTTGCACCTTACTTGAACTAAGAGATCAAGCTCGGACGTTGGAAGTACTCCCAAAAGTCTGGATGTTGGTTCCGGGGATGCTGGTAGTTCGGGGTACATAGCAGGGCAGCTGGAGACATCTAAAGACCAGAAAAGTAACCGTAGGGTAGTAAGAGAAGAGTTACCCAGGAAGAAAGAGGTAGGTCACAAGATCTTCGTATCTGCCTTTTTTCACAGATTTAAGAGGGAAAAAAACTGCAACCTACAGAAATTGAATAAGAGAGAAACCTAATTCAGTGATATTTATATTTAAATTTGTATTTAAAAAGACAGAGGTTCACAGCTTCTGTGCATCCTAAAGTATCCAGGACAAAACATTTAGAAATCAACTCACTCTTTCTTATCACTTGGTAATTCTGTGGAACAGCTTGTTGGAAATCAGACTTTCTTTTTTCTCTTAATATTTTATTTTATATAATTCTTACATCATTTTTCATTTTTGCACAATGTATGCATTTTCATTTTGGTTATATTCCCCATACAATTGCACCCCCCCCCCCTTATTTTGACCCTAATCCTTCCTCTCCCTGCCCTACCCATTCTGTGTGTCTCTGGTTTATAGGTGCTTATTGATTTTGGAAAATCAGACTTTCAATTGTGCATCTGTTGCTTCTATGTAGGTACGCCCCTCTGGGCATCCTCTTCCTGATTGCAGGGAAGATTGTGGAGATGGAAGACATGGGCGTTATAGGCGGGCAGCTTGCCATGTACACAGTCACCGTCATCGTAGGCTTACTCATTCACGCCGTCATTGTCCTGCCCCTCCTGTACTTCTTGGTAACTCGGAAAAACCCTTGGGTTTTTATTGGAGGGTTGCTGCAAGCACTCATCACAGCTCTCGGGACCTCCTCCAGGTGTGTAAACATGTGTGGTTTGCTCCTATAAGAAAGTGCAACTCAACCTTGACTTTGAACCAGAACCCTCAGCTTGAGAGTAGCAGCAGGTTTACTGTATTCCCCTTGGGTTGGGGGAAGGAGGCTAAATATCCAGGCTTAGAAATGGCTTAGTCACTTGTGATGTTTGTCAGACCTATTTGGGATTTGGGAATGGTGGGCTATCTGCTCTTGGCCCACTGTTGTCTCCCTCTTCTAGTTGACATTTGCCCGAGGGAGCAATGGTAGAGGGACCCTTCCCTGGCTGTTGTGATGAGGGGGTGATCACAAGCAGTGCTTCACAGAGAAACCCAGCAGCAGAAGAGCTGCCAAATGACCCAGGGAGAGTCCCACACTGTTCCAAACCCTGCTCCCCTGTTTATGCAAGTGCTGACTTAGTTCCCTTTAAATTAGAACATGGGAGAGGAAGGACGCCCTGTCCGAAATACCAAACACACAGACGCTGTCTGAACCATCGGCGCAGTCTGCTGACACACCACTTTACTGTTCTCAGTTCTGCCACCCTGCCCATCACCTTCAAGTGCCTGGAAGAGAACAATGGTGTGGACAAACGCATCACGAGATTCGTGCTCCCAGTCGGGGCCACCATTAACATGGACGGAACTGCCCTCTATGAGGCTTTGGCTGCCATTTTCATCGCTCAAGTTAACAACTTTGACCTGAATTTTGGACAGATTATTACAATCAGGTATAAGGAAAGTTCGACACAGAATTTGCTGAAGAATGACTTTAAACAATGAGATGGGGATTGGGTAGAGAAACTGCATGGGAAGGAGATCACACATAAATAGGAGTCTGGGAGTTGTGGGAACAGTCTTTTTTAAATATTTAGATTTTTTCTTTTAAAAAAATTACAGAGGTGCATAATTATTAATAATGAATTTCTAGTAGTATAGAAGTACACAGAGTAAAAAGTGAAACTTGCCTGCTACTGTCACTCCGTATCTTTCTGCATGTGACCACAGGCATGTAAATGGCTTTTTCACTTCTGAAACTAATCAGATCTATTTGGGATTCAGGAAATCGTGAGCTATATACTCTCTGCCCACTGCCAATAATGATTGGTGTAGAAACATTTTTTTTATGCATAGACAGACCCACACTGTGTTTTTCATAATTAATGGAATCACACCATTAATTATGTGGCCAACAAGTTTGCCACTTGATTGATTTACTAATCATACCATCTATAAATATATCTAGCGTCTTATATTTAAAATCTGCTGATATCTTTTTTAAGTCAGATCATACTTCAATTTTAAAAGGCATTAAAATGTGTTAACTTTTATTGACAGTATTTAAAAACCTGAATTAACATTTGCTTGGGGTTAAACTTTAGACTATATTTCATAAATGACAAACCACACTGATAAGTAGGTTGAGAATTTGATTTTTATGGGCTTTTTAACTACTACATATGAGGTGTCCAGTGAAAGGTAATTTTCTTCCCATACCTTCCCCTAATCTAGTTTCCTTCTCCCGAGGTAACTACTATTCCTTCCTAGTTTCCTGTGTACCCTTCTGGAATTACCCACGCACGTCCATGTGAGAATATAATACCCTCTTTATTTTTCCTGAAAGTCAGTTGCACAACAGACTTAAAATATAGTGCTGATTTTAAGTCTCACAATTCATATCAGACCCTGGTCTTTGTGTTTGTGCCTGTGTGTTCATTATTACTAGCAATTTACTTTGAAGATCAAACAAGATTAGATTTTTTTTTTTTTGCTGTTCACAACTTTTTATTATAAAAATTGTCCTATAGAAAAGTTGAAAGGATATTTCAACAAACATCTTCTACCTGGATCCAAAAGTTAACATTTTACTATTTTTACTGCTCCATTCTTGTTCTCTGTCTTCATGACATTTTACTTCTATAGTTCTGTGTGCATCTCCTAAGAATAAGGAATTTTTCCTACATAACCACAATAGTATCTAAAATAAACTTCCAGAATATCCAGTCTACATTCAGATTTTGCGAACTGTCTCCAACATATCTTTTACGGTCTTTCCCCCCAGACAAAGATCAAATCTGGCTTTGTAGTTTTTATTTGGTTTTTTTATCACCTTAGTCTTTTTCGGTCTTTACCAGTCTCCCACTTTTTTGTATGTGTATATATATTTATTTAGAAATAAATCTGTCACATGCCTTGCTAGCTCAGTTGGTAGAGCATGAGACTCTTAGAAAAAAGTTACATTAGATTCCATATGTATGTTTTGTGTTATGGAAAAGTGATAATTGTTGTTGGAAGCACTGGGGTGAAAAAGAGGAGGCTGATCATGGCCAAAGGTGACTAGCCTGGGATTTCCAGGAGGTCGAGGCCTAGACTAGCAAAACCTCAGCTGGGAGAGCTAGATCTGAGCTCACCTGTAATTATTCTTGGGCATACAATGGTAAACTAGCTGAAAATCCTGAGTTCTAAAAAAGGTTCAGTTGCATGTGACAGAGTGTATTTTTTTTTAAGATTTATTTATTTATGCATACAAGAACTGGGGTACAGGCCAGAGGTGTGAGTGTTGTGAGGATTCACCAGAGATAGAGTAGGGAGTAGAACAGGTAGACTGACTGAAATACACTGCTGAGGGGAGCAGTGGGTGAGTCAGGAGAGGTCTGCTGCGCCATATGGGTAACTCCCTGGCCGGGCATCAAACTCAGGCTGCAGTGGCTGTGAATAGCCACATAGGTTGAGTCTTAACCCTTTGCACCACCAGGGAGGCCCCTGCATGCGACAGAGTTTAAAATAACAAGAATAAGAACACTGCTTCCAACAAGCTGGAACTATACTTGTTTCTCAGAGCTGCAACTCTGCTCCACAAGGCCCTCAAGACCGAGGCTTGGGGTTCATCATCCGTGGGGTGTTGTGCTCATTTAGGTGGTCTGGGGTGGCTTAGCACACCCCCAAATTTTAGCCAGTGGGAGAAGGAAGAGTAGCACAGCCTGCAAGTTACTCCATCACTTTCCTTCGTATCTCATTGGCCAGAATTTAGTCTAAGGTCCAAGGGAGTCTGAGAAATGCAGTCTTCCTTCTGGGCAGCTAAAACTTCTAGAACCATAGAAAAGGAATAACATGGGGAAACTATGAGTCATCTCTGCCCACAGATATATTACTTTGCTAGTATCAACTTTATCTAGGAAATACTTTTCTCTTTCTAAAACATTTTCACATGTTCACCCCACACTATCAGATACATATTTAGCAAGTGGAATCCCAGACAAGTTATGTGCCTTACAAACCAGGTCCACACTACCTCCAGAAAAAAATATCCACAGTGCTTCAGGAGTTTGTCCTTTCCAATTAATAAATTTGACTTAGCTTCTGACCACATCAATCATACAAGTTCAGTATCTTTACAAGCCTGCACTGGGATAGAGGAAAAACTGGAGACAAATTGTTATTGCAACTATGCAGCATTGTAGACTTTACCAAATATTTTCAGGTAGTGAGAAAGAAGGTAACAACCAGTTTCTTCACTTAAAAATGGCTGCAGGGCCTCCCCTGGTGGCGCACCGGTTGAACACCGGGCTGCGAGGCTGTCCATAGCCTCTGCAGCGCAGGTTAGTTACCCCCAGCCACCGGAGAGGGTCCCACAGAAAAAAAAAAAAAAAAAAAAAAAAAAACCTGTAATGGGCCTCCGGTGGCGCAGATGAGCACAGTGCTATCGAGCTGTCTGCAGCTTCTAGAGTGCTGCAGCCTGGGTTCGATTCCCAGCCGACCAGGGAGATTCCCACATGGTGCAGCAGACCTCTCCTGTCTTGCCTGCTGCTCCCCTCAGCAGTGTACTTTGGTCCTTCTGCCTGTTCTGCTCCCTGCTTTGTCTCTGGTGAATTCTCTCACCTTCCCGCACCTCTGGCCTGTACCCAAGTGCTTCTATAAATAAATAAATCTTTAAAAAAAAAAATGGCTGTAATGAGGCCTCCCTGGTGGTGCAGCAGGTTGAGCACAGTGCTGTTGAGCTGTCCGCAGCCTCTGCAGCGCCAGTTCAATTCCTGGCCAGCCACGGAGATACCCACATGGTGCCGCAGATCTCTCCTGTTGCACCCTCTGCTCCCCTCAGCAGTGTATTTCAGTCCTTCTGCCTGTTCTGCTCCCTGCTCTGTCTCTGGTGAATTCTCTCACCCTCCTGCACCTCTGGCTTGTACCCCAGAGCTTGTATAAATAAATAAATCTTTAAAAAAAAATGGCTATAATGATAGGACCAACTTCCAAGCACATCAGATGCTTGATAAACTTAACTCATGCTTGATAAATATTAGTTAATATGATTATTAGCTCAGGGTTTTTTGTTTGTTTTATTGTGGTCTCATCTACATTCTTTAAAGTACGTTCTTCTCTATTAACTGGGTGAGTCAGGCATTGTCACTACACTTATTTTGCAGGGTAGACTATTTGGGGAGATTTGTAAAAATGTTTTCTGTTTCGGGACTTCTTTTAACAGCATCACAGCAACAGCCGCCAGCATCGGGGCAGCTGGGATTCCTCAGGCGGGCCTGGTCACCATGGTCATCGTGCTAACGTCCGTGGGACTGCCCACCGATGACATCACGCTCATCATTGCAGTGGACTGGTTCCTGTAAGTAAGCTGGCGCTGGGCTCCTGCGTTCTGGGGCCTGGTCTGTCACCCCAGGGTGCTGGACAGCCTGGCACATCTGCCAGAAGAGCTCCTCACAAACAGGAGGGGCAGCTTGGCCTATAATTAAATTGCTTTTTGCCCAAGTCCTGCCCTGATCTGGAGACTAGCCGTGGATGCATGCGCCATGCACCTTATCAGCCCACGGAGCACATCTGGACGCTACACTTCACACTCCATAAAATCATTCAGGGATTGGGAAACCTGATGTCTGCAAAGCCATCATAAATCAGCAAAGCCGTTCCTAAATTGCACAACACATCCCCGCTGCGGCTGGGACAGAACTGCAGGCCTCACACGCTGGGTCAGCCCGTCCTCCTTGTGCTTCCCATTGCAATGGCGTAATGCAGCGCAGATATCCCCATCTGAGCCCAAGAGGGAGACAGTGGGAAGAGAGTGAGCGTCATTAGTGAATCGATTTTGATTTGGGGCTCTGGGGAAAATTTCAAGTACCCTCCACACACTCCAACCTTTACCTCTAAGACCCATCCTTTACCCTTCTGATACTCTCTGCCTTTTTCTCTCGCAAATTTCCTTCCACTTTCAAAAGTTTCTCCCCAGGATGCTCTATGTGAATGTCTAGTAGGATCCTGTAGGAGCTGGAGTGGTCACATGTTAATTTCACTAGATCCAATTGCCCCAAAAGGCCCAACAGTGCACTCAACGCATGGTGGGGGAGGGAATCAGCTGCCAGTCTGTTCCATAGTCATTTGGATTGTGTGCTGACCCTCAGTGACCCCAGGCAGGCTTCCTCCTCTGTAAACTGCGGACCATAGTATTTATTATCTACCTCCTGGTTTGCTGTGAGGATTAAATGCACTCAAGCAGGCAGCCCACTGCCTGGCCCACAGTCAATATTCAACCAGTGTGAGCATTTTTCTAATACACAGTTGTGGTTCCCAAAGCTTTTGGTGTAATTTTGTAACCACCACCACATGTAATTTTCATGTACACTTGAAAATTACTGAGTATTCAAAAAGCTTTTGCCTATGTGGGTTATATCTATCAAAGGATCATATTAGAAAAATTGAGGAATTTTTATAAGTTCAAATTCATTTAAAAGTTATAACAATAAATTCATTCCACGTTAACATAACTAATATTTTTATGAAAAATGCCATTTTCCAAAGCAAAAATTTAGGGTGAGGAATGGTACCACTTTACATTTTTGCAAATCTCCTTATCCAAATCTCCTAATCCGAAACAGCTGTAATCTCCTAACCACTTCTGCATTCAATCTGCTGTGATATCTTTTGTCTTATGCCATAATCTTTGCAAAACTTCACTAGCATTCATGAGAAAATGAGAGTGAAGAGGGAAAATAATATCACAGCATTTTTATGAAAATAGCTTTGACCAGGGACCTCCAGTGAGTCTCTGGATCACATTTTGAGAACAGCTGCTCTAAAGGAAGGTGAGCTGTAGGGAAAAGAATCAATGAGAAATTTTAAATAAAAGGAGAGTGGGACAGGCCGCCCCCCTTCTAACTCGGCGTTCAAACCATGCAGGCTAGTAGCTGAGAATCATTGATCTCTATGTCCTAGTAACTTTTAAAAACTACTGTTATAAAAATTACACCTATTATGTAATCATGCAGTTGGTAAATACACCAACTGAATTTTAAGAGATGCCTCTGGGGCCTCCCCTGGTGGCTCAGTGGTTGAGTGCTGGGCTGCGAAGCTGCCTGCAGCCTCTGCAGCGCTGGTTCAATCCCCGGCCCCCAGCAAGGGTCCCACATGGTGCACAGACCTCGACTGCCACCCGCTGCTCCCCTCAGCAGTGTGTTTCCTCAGTCTGCTGTTTTGTTCCCCGCTCTGGCTCTGGTGAATTCTCTCACCCTCTGACTGTACCTAGTGCTTAAATAAATAAATAAATATTAAAAAAAAAAAAGAGAGAGATGCCTCTAAAGACTGAACTGGCTGGCTCATAACATGAACTGTTCACAGGACCCTCACTTTTTCCTTCCTCCTGCCCTTCCCACAGGGACCGCCTCCGAACCACCACCAACGTGCTAGGAGACTCCCTGGGAGCTGGAATTGTTGAGCACCTGTCACGACATGAACTAAAGAACCGAGATGCTGAAATGGGTAACTCAGTGATCGAAGAGAATGAAATGAAGAAACCCTATCAGCTGATTGCCCAGGAAAATGAATCTGAGAAGCCCATGGACAGTGAAACCAAGATGTAGGCGAACAAAGAGAAATGCTTTCTTGAGCACCAGGTGTTTGAAAACCATTACAAAATGTTTCTATCCCATTACAGCTCAATCTCTCCAGCAAGCCCATACCTCCCTTTTCCTCCCCACTCTTATAGGATGGGAAGTATTTATCCAAATACAAGGGAGGAGTTTGCAGTGGCCAAAATGTATAGTTTTCATCTGACATTTGAAATTTTAAGTCATTTCAGGTTAGTCTTATCTAATAAGGTACTAAAGTCAAAAATAGTCTTGATCAGATCTTACACATTTATGTGGCACACAATCCTGTAAATGTGATATTTTTCATAAGTTTAGGAGTCAAATAGAAGGCAAAAATGCTTTTAAATCAACTTTCAAAATTTAAAAATTCTTCAGATATAATTCGGTTTTAGCCTCAAAATGAAACAACTTGATAAACTACAATTGGTTATGCATTGGACAGTAACAGGTTTTTTTTTTCCTTTTCAGACATATGTCCTTATTTTATTAGTATCAGGACAATATGCATACACACCCAGCACAGCTCTGAAGAGGCACATAAAGAGAATTTTCCATGTGCCCCGGGGCAAGCCACATTTCATCTCCAGGTCTCCGTTTCCTTTCTGTAAAATGAGTGAGATCCCTTGATGCCTCCATGGCCTCTCCTAGTCCAAGCATCCTGCTGCAGGATGAGTCAGCCGGCCCTCTATTTTCTCTCTGAACATCCAGTAGCAAGTATCATTCCATGGAGCATGAGAAAGGATTTTTGGGGGGAATGAAATTTTAAGTAGAGGCCTGATAGCTGTGTCCAAAATGTCAATCATTCAAATCACCAGGCCATTCCAACAGTGAATCTACTCATGCAGCCTTTTGCTCAGTTTTTCCCAATAGGGGAAATATTCCCTTCTTTCCTACTCTCCCCAAACTGAAGGGAGAGCTCTGGGAAGAATGTCTCTCAGCACTCTTCAACTGATGCTAGACTTTCAGAAAATAAGAAGTAAGACTAGCAACTAGGAAGGATGCTCATGATCTTATTATGGAACACTAAAGAGCCTGCTATGAAAGAATGGAGCCTGATTGACATTATAAAGAGAGGATTTTAAAATGTAAGATTAGAGGTTATCCCTAGGGAGAGGGATAGTTATCCCTAGGAGAGGTTCATCTGCATTAGCCTGAAATCCATTTTCTCTTCAGTTCAAAATCATTTCCCAAGGAAGTCTGCATGTCAAACATATATGTTCATTTCTTATGTCTTTTAAAGGAGCCAAATGAAAGAGCTCTCTCTCATAGAGGTCTGTGAGCTGAGTGGGTGGTCTCTTATTTGAAAAGGTTTTTGAGTATAATCAGAAGTTCTTAGAATGAGGGGAACAAGACGTTTCTTTGTGTTGGAATTCCACTTACCAAGTCATTCAGAACCTTGCACAGCAGTAAGGTTTGGTTTGGTTTGGTTTGATTCATGTCCTTGAGAGAAATGGTAGGAACTGAATTAGTGTGAAGACATTGTCAGTATAGTTCCAAGAAGAAAAAAAAACAGCAGGGACATTAGTTTTCAGGTAAGGCAGCTCCCAGATTTATAGCAGATTCATCTTTTAAGCATGAAGGAATCTCATCCGGTCATTGCAGAGTGAAAGTTGTCAAACCATACCAGTTGTGTTTGAGTTGCTGATGGAAAATGATGAAGAATGGACATAATTATGCTAACAGACTGAAAATATAGACACGCATCCTCCGATATACAGTTAGAGAGATATTTTTATATAGATCCCAAGCATTATGTATGTACAAAAGTTAACATTAGGCCATGGTGGAATAACCATATAATGTTGCAGTTCTCTTTGGAAAGTGTACACTACAAAAGTTAATGTTTGTGGCTGTTATCTTATGACACCAGTAGAGCAAAAATTAATCATGTCAAATTAATTCTGTTACACAATGTGATCTGTTTTTATACTAACTATTTCTTATGGAAAGCAGATCCTCTAGGATGATCCTCTCGACAGCCCATCACGGGCTCTGCATACTCATGCACCCAGTGTGGACCGAGAAGCATTACTTTGTAGATGTATTTTCAATAAAGAAAAAAAATAGTTTTACATGACATCTTGTGCATATTGTTGTTATTCTTCTCCCGGAAGGAAAAATGAAATGAGTGCAGTGAGCTCAGGGCTATGCTTCAGAAAGATGTCAGTCACCAAAGTAAAATCTTGGAAGGACTAGCTGGAAGAGCCAACGCAGGAAAACAAGTAACAATTCACTGCAAGCTCTCCAGGCTCAACTTCTAGAAACAGAGCAGGAAACAAGCAGATATGAAGAGAGCACTTTGCTGTAGCAGCCTGTACCTCCAGCCACATCAGACTCAAATGTCTCAATAAATTCAATCATTTCCATGTTGGGATTAGGAAAATGTAATGTCACCATCGGTTCTTCCCATGTGACCTTCAAATTAGGTAGAATAATCCTGTATGACCTTCGAATTCGGTAGATTTTTCTATGTGAGTAATCCTGCCATTTGTAAGAACAGTGGAAACAGCCATTATGCTAATGAACCATTTAGTTCTGCTCATGAAGAACAACTTATGGATGCCTGCTTGGTTCCATCATACTTTTTAATAAAGAATTGGCAGGAAATGTGAATGCTCAGAGATTGAACTTGTCTTGGTGACACTTTAACCTGACCTTCTACCTGTAGGTGGCTTCCACTTAGAGGGGAGGCTCTTTTGATCAAAATCTTGACAAATCACCATTTGATCAATCTATCCTAACTTTTTCTAAGGCATCTGTGCTATTTGAACTGCTGGTTGGGAAAGTGGAAGGATGCTGCTGACAGTCTGAAAGAAGCATACCAACTCCAGCCACCAGCCCAAGGGAATCCATAACTGCACATCTGTGGGACATTCTGGACACAGAATTCAGGAAAGTGCTAGAAAGTGCTGCCTGATGCAGTCCCCAGTTTTTTTTCCTTCCGCAGCCCAAGCTGAATTTCACCTCCAGGCACCCACACTTCCACTAGGCACCTGAGAAGCTGGTGTTACTCAGTCTAGGGAAACCCATTACAGCTCTTCCAGGTGTGACTAAGAGAGAGGGAGTCACATGTGGACACAGATCTGCTCACAAATAGAACGATGAAAAGTTTTCAGGTTGACAATTTTTTAATATTTCCGATGAGCAAGTGCATTCCTAACAAATTTGTTCAAATCCTACACTTGGAGAAGTTGGGGATCGACATATTCCCTTTCTCCTCTCCATTCCTTCAGCACCACGGACCCACCCCAAGCAGGATTCCCTCTCCCAAGCTGTCACACTTTCCCAGTACAAAGCCTTTGTTCATAAACACCAGGCTGAAAACAGATTTTTAGTGCTGCTAATGTGGTGGGTCTGGAGGGAGCCGGGAGGAAAGGCTCGTTTCCACCCTAGCTGAGCAGAGTGAGGAGGCTTCTGCGAGGCCAGGAGCTCTGACCCTCTTTCCGGGCAGCCCGCTGGGCTCTTGACCCAAGGCTGCTGTCAGTCATCAGGCCTCCCAGGCGCATGCTGCCCTTCTGCTCCCGGGTGGTCCCAGAACCCCGGGCAACAATGACCAGCTCTGTGTGGCCTGTTCCCCAGGGCCGGAGCAGTTGGGAGGTGTCAACTCCCCGCTTGTCGAATGAATAAGCCGACAGAAAGGAAACAAGGAAGCAAGGGCAAAGGAAGCTGATGGACAGTGTTCTCAGAACTGGAAGAGCGTCTCCAGGATAAACGACGGCGGGACCTGGGGGCGATACCCGCAATGGCCACTAGGAGGAGCCGGAGCTCTTGGCCGGGAACTGAACTTCCTCTTAAAGTGAACTCGCTGGTTAAGCACATGGAATTTCAAGGTCTGCAGTACAGAGGCTCAATATGTGAAAGCCATCAAGTGATTTAAAATCCTTCAGTGCCCTCATTTTCCTTTTCTGTGTGGTCACCCTGCTTCTCCAATAACCCCTCCCATGATGCCCTTCCTGCTCTGCTCTGTTTGCCCTGTACCCTGCCTCCTTTGTCTCTCCTCCCATCTCCTTTTTTGCCATCCTGTTCTGGAACCTCACGCTCCCATTCCATCCAGGCTCAGGTACTCAGAAAGCAGCATCTACCCTCATCACAACCACCAAATTGCTGCCTCAACCTTCAATTTGCAAACAGTCACATTTTCCTGAAGCTACACGTTTGAGCAGGGTTCTGAGATAAAACAGGATATTCAGTTCAATTTGAATTTCAGATAAGTAACATTGCTTAGTATTGAATACATCTAAGTACACCCCAAAATAATACATAGGGCAAAGTGTATTTTTATTGTTAATGTAGCAACCCTACAGATGTGAAATGAAAAATTCAAGCCAGTTTATTTGCCTCAATTAAGAGCTATTATAAGTGAAAGAATTTGTGTGATTATTAAAAATAATCATCCTAATTTTTTCTTTCTGCAAGCAAAAAAAAAAAAAAACCCTAAAACATTAAAAGGCAGTCCAGATCTTTTATATTGCCTATTATTTGTTAGTTCTGGGGACGTTATCACTTATTATGTGCTTGTAAATCTTGTGGCTGCACTTAAAAAGCCTGAACAATCACCTTTAATACTTCACAGACGGTCTTAAATAAATTAGAGTGCTTCAGTTATCCATGCTTAAAATATTTTTAAGATTCACATCTGTTTTTCTTTTCCTCTCTTTCCTTTTTTCTCCCCACTTTTCTTCTCTCACTTCCTATTCCTGCCCCCTCCCACTCTCCAAATAGAAAATATTTTCTGTAATTCATTACAGGGCTGAAATCTTTGGTATTCACGTATTGTTTCCCAATGATTAGCACATTTTTTCATTTGGGGTGCTCCTTTTAGAAAAGCGCCCATGTTTTTTTCATATTGTGCTATTCAAAGTTCATCATTTTCCAATCATCATAAAGTGGGGAATGAAGCAGTTTTCTAATTCGTTTCAGAGAACTCCAGCCTCTATGCATGGGCATTGTTCCTACACAAGCCCCTTCCCCAGATGAGGCTGAGGAATATGAAAAGCAGGGCCCAACTGGTACAACAGGATGACAAGATATTTCCCTTTGAGTCATGAGCTCTTTCCCACTAACCACAGAGTTGCATCAATGTTACAGACAGAGGTGAGTCTTAGAGAAATGGTGTTGGAGGATACCTTTGGGATTTCTTTTGTAAATCTCTAAGTTCAGGGGGTCACAAAACATCCTGAAAGTAGCCAGTCAGGAGCTTGAAGATATAGCAGAAGAAAATAAATACCATCCAAGAGTCAGCTCAGCCCAGAAAGGAACTAATGATGGATTTGCCCTGGGGAGAGCTTAGCACTCAAAGATTCTGTCAACAGCACAAGACTGAAAACTGTCACCAAATTCCACCTCCTTAGCACTGCTGTGTCCCCACGAGGCATTTTTTCATTTATGCTGAGGATGAGCTATTAGCTGAAAAAGGAGAAAACTTACTGAAGAGAGTTCTCATGTATGTGGATTCCTAGAGCAAAAATGGCTTTGTGTTTCCTAAAACCTGAAGGTCTTCTGTTTCAGAGTAATGGTTGAATCCAAACTTGTACACAGTGCTGGGCTGAATCCAGCCTGAATTCTTGAGCAGTTTCGTCAGGGCCCGTGGACCATCATGATTAACCCAAGAACATGACCTGTGGACATGCTAATGTTAGTTTTAACATGACTTCTGAGCATCTGGCATGGAATGCTGACCTAGACACTGAATGGTGAATCTCACCTTTGCTTGTTTTTAACTGACCGTGGTACCTTGACCCAATCATTCAATCCCCCTGTACCTCATCTGTGCAGGTGGGGATTGGATGGAGCCTACCAGCTTCAACCCAATTTTCACATCAAGTTCCCATAAAATAGAGGAGGTGTAAGGTCCTCCTGCATTAGTTGCTATGGTCAACTGAGTTTAGCAAATGATAGATTAAACTTAAATTTCTTCGTGTAAATTAGTATCATTAATACCTTCTTTTTGAGGGTATAATGGGCGTTACAAAGGTGATAATATAAAATCTTCAGCATAATGCCTGGCACTTAGGAAGAGTCTTAGGAAGTTTAGAACAAAACCAACTCAATGAAGGAGGAAGAGGTGTGGGGGTGATGCTGGAGGTGGGGAGAGCAGGTCCCTGCTCCATCTGGTGCCATTGTGAGCAGGACAGAACTCCCCAGGGAGGCCACAGACCTTCATCTTTTGGGAGGGAGGCTTTGCGGAGGGTAGTCACCCCTGGAAACTGGCATCATGAGAAACTGCCAGGCCTCTTCACGAAGGGACCCAGGCCTCTGCCCTGTGAGGACCAGCAGCCCCTGCCAGTCTCATTTGAGGCCTTTTGTCAGGCCGGGTTCTCCCAGCCGTCCAACGCTGCGTGGTGGTTTTGTGAAGTGCACAATTCCACACTCTGAGGAGACCACCCAGCTTCCTCCCGAGTCTCCCAGAGAATAAAACTGCCCTGGGTGTGCCAACAACTGCTCCCTCTGCCAGGACCCCTCCTTCTATCCTTCTTCCTGCCAAGGAGAAATGGAGAGGCAGTCAGGCAGTGCTCTGTGGGAATCCAGGGGATGATATGCTAATGAGCTGTCCCCAGCAAAGGCTCAGTGTTCGCTACCTGGGATGTTGCTGCCACCCTGTGGCAAAGGTCTTCCTCTAAGTCCCTGATGGTCACGCCAGAGCAGCCTTCTTGTAAGCACAGAGCATTTACTGGAAACTCATTCCTCATTCCTCATTACTCAAGGACATAGAGACAAAATAGCTGAGGAATTTGAAGGAAAAAGGAACTTAAAGCGTTCTGTGTCTACAATAGGAATTCTCAAAGTGTGGTGCCTGGAACAGCAGCATCAGCATTCCCTGGGAAGTTAACGGAAACACAAGTTCTCAGATCCCACCCCAAACTATTAGAAACTTGGAGGACAGAGCCCAGCAATGTTTTCTAACAAGCCCCCAGGTGGTTTTTTTTTTTTTTTTAAGAGGCATGTTTTTATTTATTTATTTATTTGTTTGTTTGTTTGTTCGTTTACACATGCACTGGGTATAGTCAGAAGCGTGGGAGGGTGAGAGAATTCACCAGAGTCAGAGCGGGGAGCAGAGCAGGCAGAAGGACCGAAGTACACTGCTGAGGGGAGCAGCGGGCGGCAGGAGAGGTCTGCGCGCCATGTGGGACCCTCCTCCTGTGGCCCGGGAGCAGCCAGGGATCGAACCGGCGTCGCAGAGGCTGCGGGCAGCTTCGCAACCCAGCGCTCAACCGCTGCGCCACCAGGGAGGCCCCCCCAGGTGGTTTTGATGCACACTAGTCCAGACACTAAAAAGAAACCCTGGCTTTGCCTATGAGCTATATGACCTTGGACAAGAGATTAACCTCTTCATATCTTGATTTGCTCAACCTTATCATGATAATTAATAATAATTCCCATTTTCTAGGATTGTGAGGATTAGATTAGAAATAAAATAAGGTACTGGCATATATACATACCTGATAAATGCTTCTTGTTTGGGGTGTTACTGTGATGGGGCCATGTATTTGTCACACTACCACTAGAATATAGAGGGGAAAAATGCAGTTCTTTCCCTCATTTACCTAACAGATGCTTATAGAGTGCCTACTATGTGCCAGGCACAGTAACTGACAATGTAGTTATAGTGATACATGGACAAAGGTCGTCCCTTTATAGAACTACATTATAATAAATGTGTAATGATTTATAGTTCATAGTTCAGTGCCATGAACTGAAATGTGTCCTCTCCAAAATTTACATGTTGAAGCCCTAATCTCCCACATGATTATATTTGAAGATGGGTTTTTTAGGAGGTAATTAGGTTAAATGAGGTCATAAGGACGGGGGCCTAACTCAACAGCATTGGTGGCTCTCCCTCCTTGTCCCTACCTTGCCCCTCCCACTTCAGGTACACACATGCCGAGAAATGTCCATGTGAGGACACAGGGAGAAGGCTGCTGTGTTCAAGCCAGGAGGAAAATTCCCAGCCAAATCCAACCATGCGGCACCCTGATCATGGGCTCCTGACTCCAGAACCGTGGAAAAATGAATTCCTATTGTTTAAGTAGTCACCCAGTCTGTGGTGTTTAATTATGGCAGCCCCAGTTGACTACATAGAGTCAAGCTGTAATCACATATAAAGAACAGTGAAGTCAGTAAGGACTTGGAAAGGGATTGGAATGTTATCTGAGGATGGTCAGGAAAGGCTTCCCAAGGAGGCTCTATGTGAGGAGAGATCTGAATGGAGTCAGAAATCAAGACTGTGGATTTGAAGGGTAGAGAAAACCAGCGCAAGGATCTTTGATGTGTAGGTGGGGACCTATGAGAGGAAAAGCCAGGGGGCCAAGGAGTCTGGGAGGAAAAAGAAGGAGTCAGAGAGGGCTGAGGGCCCATCAGGTAAACTCCTACAGACCAGGATGAGGACTGTGTATTTTAATCCAGGTGTGTAATCCACTGGGAGTTAGAGAAGCAAGAGATCCTTTATTTTCCCTAACTTACCTTCTATCCCAGTCTTTGCCCATCTAAACAATCTCCTTTCTTACATTTCTCCTAAAGGTGCACAAAGTTTTCTTTTCTTCAAAACCTCACCAACAGGCCTCCCTGGTGACTAGGGGGTTGGGCACAGCACTGTGAAGCTACCCACAGCCTCTATAGCAGCCAGGGAGTTACCCACATGGCACTGCAGACCTCACCTGTCTCGCCTGCTGCTACCCTCAGCAGTGTATTTCAGTAGATCTGCCTGTTCTGCTCCCTACTCTCTCTGGTGAATCCTCTCACCTCCTGCACCTCTGGCCTGTACCCCAGTTCTTGTATGCATAAATAAATCTTTAAAAAATAAAAAATAATAAACAATCTCCTTTCTAAATATTTGACATCTTTCAGTGTAGCCCCCTGAACCTTCCCTCTCCTCTTCTCTGTGTTCTCCATCCAGTCCTGGAACTCAGTCCCACTAAGGCAGGGTCCCTGTCACACCTGCCTGCTATCAACCCCATATCCATGCTGTACAGGAAATGGCGGAGGGCTCAGGTGTGCAAAACAGAGCTCAGGTTAGTACAGCGCAGCCCAGCATAAGAAGGGACCCAGCAGAGCTCTCTCCCTATGGAGGTCTCTCTGCTGATAGGACACCTGCCTTCTTGGATTAAAAACTTCTTTTTTTATGGCCTCCTTATTTTTTTTTTCCCCAGTGGATTTCTGCCACACACTTCCCTTCTTGCTTAAATCTTCCAATAAAAACCCGGTGGTCTGCTTCAACAGATCCAGGACTTGGTAAGTTTAGAAAGGAAATAAGGGAATTTAGAAAATCTTCTCTTTACAATGTTCATGCACAAGTCCGTTGCCTTGAAATAAGATCCTATTTTGAGATACACCACCTGAGCACTAATGATTTCTTTTTGCTGTAATTATTCTTATGTCTTGAGGTCGATGAGTGCCCTTGGCTGATGTGACAGAAAGTATATTGAAAAACACGAAAGAAAAAATCATGTCAACTTTTCCCATGAAAATATTATCTAAATATTTAGTATTATAATAATTATTAAGATTACAGATGAATGAGACTTTATTGGGGTTCTTTTTTATTTAGTGAGTTTTTCCAGTGTCTTGTACTTAAGAAGTTATTATTTCTCCCTCTGAGATTTATTTCTTTATGAAATTCAAACTACATTGGACTCTTATGTCTGGCCAGGTTCTTCTCCCTCTTAACTTCCTCCATTTGTACTTCCTGTGAGGTTGTGCCATGCCCCAATTCACCCCAGACTTCTTCATTTCACCACAGAACCCCTGTGAGAAACCGCTGAGGACCCATATTGGAGACAGAGATGAGGCATGGTAGAACTCAGGCACTGTGTAGCCACCAATGCCAGGTCTTCTCGCCTCTGCAGACTCAGTCCTGGACCAAGTCTGGCCATTTTCCTCTGCCTACAGCAGTCTCAAAGTGAAGAAAGGTCTGAAGTAAAAACATAGTGGAAAGGTTTTTCAAATCCACTCCCTAAAAGATCAGGAAAATGGTGACTTCAGAAAGAGGTCATCATTTACCATTTGTTTACTATTTGTTTTCTTCCCTAATGGGAATCAAGCCAGGATGGCAATAACACTCTCAGAGGCCCTCATTGGAAGAAATCAAGGAATTGCTCTAAGCAGAATAGAAAACACTCCCTTACCCACCTTGTAACAAACTCTCAGACTTCAAGCAAAAAACTCTCAGACTTGCCCCACCTATACACCTTTTTTTTATTTTTTTAATTTTTTTTAAAGATTTATTTATTTATACAAGCACTGGGTACAGTCAGAAGTGCGGGAGGGTGAGAGAATTCACCAGAGCCAGAGCGGGGAGCAGAGCAGGCAGAAGTACCGAAGTACACTGCTGAGGGCAGCAGCGGACGGCAGGAGGGGTCTGGACGGCAGGAGGGGTCTGCGCGCCATGTGGGACCCTCCTCCAGTGGCCCGGGAGCAGCTGGGGATCGAACCAGCGCTGCAAAGGCTGCGGGCAGCTTCGCAACCCAGCGCTCAACCGTTGCGCCACCTGGGAGGCCCCCACCTATACACCTTTGAGACAGGAAGTCAGCCCAACATTGTTACATCCGAGCTTGAATTTTGCAATCTGGAGTTTCTAGTTCAAATCAGACCCTTGGCAAGAGAAACAAAGGAAAATATAAGCAAATGGGATTACAGCAAATTAAAAGGCTGCACAGCAAAAGAAACTATGAGTAAAACAAAAAGATACCTAACTGTATGGGAGAAAATATTTACACATCATATATTTGACAAAGGGCTGATATCCAAGTTCTAAAGAATTCATACAACTCAACAAAAAGAAAACTAATAACCCAATCAAAATATGAGCAGAAGAACTAGACATTTCTGCAAAGAAGACATACAGATGGTGAACAGGCCCATGAAAAACTACTCATCATCACTTATCATCAGGCAAATGCAAATCAAAACCACAATGAGATACTACCTCGCACTGGTGAGAATGGCTCACACCAAAAAGACCAGAAACAAGTGTTGACCAGGATGTAGAGAAAAAGGCACCCTAATAAACTGTTGTGGGAATGTAAACTAGGCCAGCCCCTATAGAAAACAGTATAGACATTTCTCAAAAAAATTAAAAATAATCAACCATGTGATTCAGCAATTTCACCCCTAGGTTTTTACCTAATGAATGCAAACACAGGGCCTCCCCGATGGCACAGCGGTTGAGCGCTGGGTTGCGAAGCTGCCCACAGCCTCTGCAGCGCAGGTTAGATTCCTGGTCGCCCGGCAAAGGTCCCACATGGCATGCAGACCTCTCCTGCAGTGACCACTGCTCCCCTCAGCAGTGTCCTCTGTCTGTCTGCCTGTTCTGTTCCCCACTCTGGCTCTGGTGAATTCTCTCACCCTTCCACGCTTCTGACTGTACCCAGTGCTTGTATAAATAAATAAATCTTAAAAATAAAATGCAAACACACTGATTTGAAGGTATATAGGCGCTCCCATGTTCATTGTAGAACTATTTACCATAACTTATGGAAGTAACCTAAGTTCCCAAGGACAGCGGGGTGTATTAGAAAAATGTGGTATACAACACAATGAAATATGACTCGATTATAAAAAATGATGAACTCTTGTCATTTGCAACAACAGAGTGGAAGTGAAGGGGATAATGCTAAGCAAAATAAGTCAGGAGAAAGACAAATCCACTGTTCCATTTATGCATGGAACACAGAGAAACAAAACTAAAGGGTCAGATAAAACCAAATAACAAACACCAATAAGAAAGTCTAGAAAACTGACTGTGGAATAAAAACTAGAAGGAAGAAGGAAACACATTGAGGAGGGGGCACAGTGGACTATAGTGGAGAACCATGGGTGCTTTGGTGGTAGGTGTGTTGGGGTGACATACATCCAAGGAGGTATGATTCCGTGTCTCTAAATCACATACAATGTTATCAACAAACGCTACCTAAATTGATCGATCAATCAATCAATAACAAATCAGACCCCTGCATTTATTTACTGTGTTTACTGGGACAGTAACTTCACTTCTCTAATCCTAACATTTCCTCTGGGAGAGTGTCACTGGAATCACAGAGTTTTATAAGGCTTTTATTAGATAATACTTAGCTCAAGCTCAGCACATCCCATGCTCAATAAACTACAGCTATTCCCAGAGTAAAACAGAGCTGAAGATCAGCTCTTCAGCACAGCCACACCAGTTATGTCACTGCGTCATCTCTAACAGGTCAGCCTCTGTGCATTAACAATTGTAAAGTACTTTTACTAACACCTATTTTTTGTAAAGATTTATTTATTTATGCATATAAGAGCTGGGATACAAGCCAAAGGTGTGGGGGGGGCGGTGAGAGAATTCACCAGAGACAGAGTGGGGAACAGAACAGGCAGATTGACTGAAGTACAGGGCTGAGGGGAGCAGCGAGCGAGTCAGGAGAGATCTGTTGCACCATGTGGGTTGCTCCCTAGCTGGCAGAGGGCCGGGGATTGAACTTGTGCTGCAGAAGCTGTGGACAGCTTCATAGGTTGCATCTTAACCCCTTGCGCCACCAGTGAGGCCCTAACACGTATTGTTATTTTGATGTTATGATTACTTTTGCTTTCATATCCTATGTCCAGAGTGGCTCATTCTAGTGAGAGAAACTTGCCACAGGATGGCAGCAAATAACCTCTAAAGTCTTTCCTGGTTCTAAAGTTTCATGAGAATATGAAAATGACCTATAGCTGGAATCAAGCCAGGTCAAAGTGGACTGAGTTATAACACAAGACAGTTGTAGGAGCCAGGAGAAGCATCCTACCTATTCCTCTCCACCCAGGCAGGATCTGCAGGTGTCCTTTGGAGTCTGGGGCTATTTCTGAGGCTCAGCAGATTTCTTCACCTTCCTTTTTTTTTCCTTCTCTTTATACTCTGCTCTCCTGTGATTACATGTAATTTCTCTGAGTAGAATTCTCCAGACAGGATGCCTGACCCATCAGTCCCAAGCTCTTTGATTGTGAACTAATTCTGCAATATTTTAAGCACATACTTTTTACCAGCCAAACATAGATCCTTGCTAGGAGAATCTTTGAGTAATAATATCCATGTGATGAGTGGGAAGAGAGGGTCAGAGTAGGGAATTCTAGGGAGAATATCACTATAAACTGGATGTGCCTCTTCTCCCCCAAATCTCTAAGAGACATGATTCCAGCATTCTCCTTCCAAGCACAATTATCTCTAAACTACATACGCAGGATTACTCCATTCTTCAGAATAGAGTTTTTAGTATTAATCTTCCTTTCCACATCAGAAGGCCCTTGATTAGTTAAACTATAAAGTTTTCCTACCACATATAATATAAAAACCTTGAGAGAAAAAGGGCATAAGTTGAAAACCAGTTATGTACCAGGCACCTCACCCCAGTCCTATGAGGAGGTATAATTATATCCATTTTACATAGAAGAAAGTTGAGGTCTATAGAATAAGTAACTTACTCAAGGAAAGTTGCAACTTGAGCCCACCTTTATGCCCACAACAAGTGTTTTTCTCCTTAGACTATGCTAACCATAGTAATTAACTCTGATCAAGCACTGAAAATGCAGCACCTCACCTAAATACACTGTGGCATAATGTCCTAGATCAGTGTTTTTCAAACTGTGGGTCATCATCTTGGTGGATCCCAACTAACAGCTTTTAAATGAAGGGACAGAACAGAGCAGAATAGAATAGAAAATACCAGAGTGTCTCATATGTAATTAATTTTTTCAGGAATTTTTTATTTTAGTTGTGCACATATGTGCATATAGACTTGCTCCCTGAGTAAATTACATTTTGTTATTAAAAAGTTTAAAGCTACGATTTCAAGCCCTTGCTGGTCTATAACAAATAATCAATGATTTTTTCACTTTTTAAAATCATGGGTGTGAGTATCTTTAGTTTTCACAACTGACTACCCAAAAGGTGTTTCCATCTTCCAAATACAAATAGCTCCTATGGAAGTGATTAATCTTAAAGAGGTAAATGTTCTCCCATACACATTTTCCAGGTTTCATTCTGTGCTCTGCTAACATGTGCTCGTACAATCCAGCCCTTCCAAATCATCCATACTCGGTGAACTTGAAGATGGGTTCCAGAGTCAGGTTAAACTTCTAGACATCCCCATCCACCAGTGCTTCTTGCCATATGAAGTGCATCCTGGCACAGAGCTTAGGACAGAACCAGGGGGAGGAATTCCTTGTTAGCACTGACATCTGGTGGTCGCCAAGAGGCCAGCACTCGCATATTTAACCTCAAGGAAAGCTTTGACCCGCCCTCCACTCACCAGCTCTGACTGTAGCCAAAGTGATTCTTCATGACCCTCCCCACCCCCTCATCTTGTTGTTGTGACAATCAAAAATACCAGCACATATTTCTAAATGTCCCCGGGGAAGCAGCTTCCCTGGGTCAACAACCACTGTAGCTGAAAGGGATTTTGCTTTGAGCAAAATACGCTTTTCTTGGATCAAGCATTCATACAGTTTATGGAATTTTGATAGTCTATCTCTAACACCATTGCTTGTAGATTGCATGTCATTTTTAAGCTTGTCCCAGTCTGGAACTTTATTCTGTTTTGTTAGCTATGTGACATTGTACAAGAGCCTGCTTTCATTTATGAAATTAGACACCACACTCATGGATCTTTCAGCAGTACATTTGCTACACTGTGTATCTATTTGTACACACATATACACAACACACATACAACATTTAGCACAAGAAAAATTCAACAACTTTTTTAAATTGAGGGATTCAAGCCACTTTTGATATAAGGGACTCTCCTGGGGGTGTTGTACCAAAAAAGGGAAGGAATCGTGGGCTTTCAACGACTAAGGACAGCAATCAACCGTTGGGTAGCTTTTATTTTTCTTAATAAACTGCACTAATCTCCTAGTGCAGCTGCAAAAAACTGCCACAAACTAGTAGTTTGAAGTAACATAAATTATTCTCTTATAGCTCTGGAGGTCAGAAGTGTAAAATCAAGGTGCTGGCCAGGCTGCATTCATTCAACCGGCTTCTGGACAGAATTTCCTTGTAGTTTTCAGTTAAGTGCTGTCTACATTCCTTGGCTGGCTGGTGGTCCCTTCCTTGTCTCACTCCAATCCCTTACTTCCATTGTCACATCTCCTATAGCTAACGAAGCCCTATCTTCCCCTTAGAATCCTGGGATTACGCTGGGTCCACCCACATGATCCAGCATAATTTCTCCATCTGCAGCTAGTTAATAAAGTCCCTTTGACTATGTAGGGTAACCGGTTTGGGACAGCAGAGTAACTAGGGATTAGATATAGACATCACTGGGTGGTGCTCATCCGGCCTACCACATAAGCCATGGCTAGGTCTCCTCTCACATGGGGAGGGTCTGCTCCTGTTACAGATGGTCCTTGGAAACTCCATGAGGCCCCAGCTCCACATCCATGAAGTGTAAAGCCACATGGTGTTGTAGAATCAGAAACACAGGAACTGGGGCCTCCTTGCAGCATGAGTTCGATCCCCTGCCAGGGAGGTGACCCACATGGCACAGCAGTCCTCTCCAGTCTTGCCCACTGCTCCCCTCAGCAGTGTATTTCGTCAGTCTTACTGTTGTGTTCCCTGCTCTGTCACTGGTGAATCCTCTCACCCTCCTGTACATCTGGCCTGTACCCCGGTTCTTGTATAAATAAATAAATCTAAAAAAAAAAAAAAACACATAGAAGGGGCCTCCCCGGTGGCGCAGTGGGTTGAGCACAGTGCTATGAAGCTGTCCGCAGCCTCTGCAGCACGGGTTCAATTCCTGGCCAGACAGGGAGATTCCCACATGGCATGGCAGCGGGTGTGACAGTGTGCTGCTCCCCTCAGCAGTGTGAACTTAAAGTTGCCTATTGTCATGATGAGTCTGCCCACAAGAGGGTTGAAGGGTAAGAAGAGAAATCCAGAGAGAAGAAAAGGCTGGTCACATTACCAGGCTGAAGAAGAAGGGATATTCTTCTTTTTCTACTTGACCTACTTTGTAAAGACAACGAAAATTTCTTTCTGGTTTTTTCATTATCCATTGTTAACATCAAATATGCCCACCATAGACATCAGGCCTATGTCAGAAGCAAACACCTAGCCTGAATAAATGCTTTTTGTACTTGGAAGATATTGCTAAGATTCAAGAAGCTTAAAAGTTATGTTGAATAGTCAATATTGTTGGGCCTCCCTGGTGGCACAAGGGGTTAAGTCTCAGCACAAGTTCAATCCCCGACCAGGGAGCTAACCCACATGGCGCAGCAGACCTCTCCTGTCTCACCTGCTTCCTCCTCTCAGCAGTGTATTTCAGTAGATCCACCTGTTTTGTTCTCTGGTGAATCCTCTCTCTCTCTCCCTCTATCGCTCTCTCTCTCTCTCTCTCTCTTTCTGTCTCACACACACACACACACGCACACAAATGCACACACCCCTCTGGTCTATACCCCAGCTCTCGAATGCATAAATAATTTTTTTAAAAATTAAAAAAAAGAGTAGTCAACAAAGGAGCAAAGAATATGCATTGGAGCAAAGAAAGTCTGTTCAATAAATGGTGCTGGGAAAACTGGGTCGCTACATGCAAAAGAATGAAGCTTGACTACTACCTAACACCATGCACAAAAACCAACTCAAAATGGATTTAAGAACTAGACATAAGACCTGAAACCGTAAAATACATAGATGGAAATATAGGCGAAACACTACATGATATGCACATCAAAGACATCTTTACAGACACATCACCCAAAGCAGTGATAGTTAAGGGAAAGATAAACAGCTGGGACTACATCAAATTAAAGAGCTTCTGCACAGCAAAAGAGACAAAAACAAAAACAAAGAGAAACCCCACCCACTGGGAGAACATTTTTGCACACAACACTAATGATAAAGGACTGATCACAAAAATCTACAAAGAGCTGATGAGACTCAACAAAAACAAAGAAAATAAACCAGTCAAAAAATGGGCAGAAGAGCTAAAAAGAAACTTCTCTGAAGAGGAAATGCAAATGGCCAACAGGCAGATGAAAAAATGTTCAACATCACTTGTAATCAGGGAAATACAAATCAAAACTACCATGAGATATCATCTTACACCAGTGAGAATGGCACATATTAAAAAAACTAGCAACAACAAATGTTGGTGAGGTTGTGGAGAAAAAGGAACTCTCCTGCACTGTTGGTGGGAGTGCAAACTGGTCCAACCACTATGGAGAGCTGTGTGGAGATTTCTTGACCTACAAACCATAGCGCTTCCATCTGATCCAGCAATTCCACTCCTAGGTATTTACCCAAAGGACACAGAAACATCAATTCCAAAGAGCACCCGCACCACTATGTTTATAGCAGCACTGTTTACAATAGCTAAGCTTTGGAAACAACCCAAATGCCCAAAAATAGATGACTGGATCAAGAAGATGTGGTACATATATACCATGGAATATTACTCAGCATTCAAAAAAGATAAACACATGCAATTTGCAGCAACATGGATGGCGCTGGAAGGGATCATGCTGAGTGAAATAAGCCAGAAAGAAAAAGAAAAATACTGGATGGTCTCACTCACAGCAGGAATCTAGAAAACTTAAATGAGGGACCAGGAAAAAGAACAACTATAAGAAAGAAAATATCAAAATCGACAAACAGCTATGAACCAGAGACACTCTATGGCGGGTGGGGGCCGGGGAAAGGAGGACTTGGGGTCAAAATAAGGGGGTTGTAATTGTATGGGGAATATAAAAACTGAAATTTAAATTAAAAAAATTAGAACACACACAAAAAAAGAGTAGTCAATACTGTTTATATTCAACTGGAATGAGAAAATAAAGAACCATAATTGATTGGTGGTTTCAATTTCCTTTTCTGCAAATGGGGATTTTTTTAATAATGCCTCCCTCCCTAACTGGGTGGAGCAAAGAAAGACTTCAAAGAATTTCATTAATGAATGTGTCATTCACCTTACTATTTTGAAGGATAATCATTGCTCAAGGCAGGCCTTGTATCTCATCATTTGTGCCAGCATATGGATAGAAGTGTGATGAAAAAGACTTGGGAAATTTTACTTAGTTTCTTTTATACTCATAGGCACTGATCATTTTAATCAAAGATAACACACCTCGCTTAAAACAATTAGCTTTGACAATACACGCATAAGCAGAACATTACACTGTAAAAGTGTTCATTTTCTTCTTCCTGCAATACATATTAGATAATAAAGACAAGAAAATTAGATGATTCCAAGTAATTTGGGGGCATTATTACAAAGAGAGGCTGGTGATATTTTTGTCTTTTTGACAAATTGAAGGAAACCAGTGGAAGAAATCTTGTTTCAGGAGTACATTTTCACTTAGCTGTCCTCTAAGCAGAGATGCATTACCCCAGAAAGAAAAATCAAAGTTCTTCAACTGCCAGAGATAAATTGACAAATTTGGCTCCCAGCTATACATTCTTGACAGCTACTAGAGTTCCAGGAAAAGAAAACAAGAAAATTAAATTTGACAGAAATGATAAAGAAGAAAAAAGAAGGAATTTTTCCAGTTAACATCTCAGTGCCTTTGAAGGGATTTTAGGACAATTCAATAACAGAGCAGTTAGGCCTCTCTCCTAGTTCCCTCCACAGACATGACTGTAATTTTAATGGAACTGCATCCTTGTAGACAACTGGTGGTGACTACACATTTAGTCCAGGTGTTGGTTGCCTGGTGACTTGCTCAAGACAAATGGAAAATAAATGTGAATGATGACCTGCCTGGAAATGAACTGCATGACTTCCTGTCACCCCTCATTTCTGTACTCAAGAACACACTTTGTGGTAAGAGCTTGTGGTAGTGTTAAAACTCTGAATTTCATATGTATTTTACAATAAAGTAGGCATACTAAGTAAGAATCATGTGGGCCATTAGAATCTAGTATCCAGTATCTGATCATGGTATCATGACGTCAAGTGTGATATGAGGAAGACCCTGGTCCTTCTACATGTCAGTCTCAAATAGTCAAGAAATAGGTCTGAGAAACCCTGTTACAACTCTCTGTTCTAAAGTATTTTGAAGAGTTGTATTAAATTTTTTGCTTACATTTTATGTTTTTTATAAAAAATGACATCAATTCATTCCTTTGTAAGATCTGAATAAGAAAATATCTAAAATAGAGCCTAGAAGTTGTCTTCATTCTCTAGCCCACTGTTAACTATTTGTGTGTTCCCCTAAGAAATAAATTGGGGAAAAAATATCAAATGTTTTTAAAATGTCCATATCCTTGACATCATGGCCAAAAACCAAATATTAGACCCCTCTTCTAAACATCTCTAAGGAAATCATCAACACTGGTCAAAAATGAGAAGCATATACTGGTGGTGACAGAATGGACTGAAAGACTGCAGGTTTGAATCCTGGTAAATTCACTCATTAATGATATTATGTTGAACAAATTCCTTAACTTCCTCAGTTTAAATAGGGATAATATTAGTGTTTATCTATAAATTTACTGTGAGGCTTAAATGAACTGTTATGTAAAATATTTGACACTTGGTAAGCGCAAAAAATGCTAAAGATGTCTCATTAAAATAAAAGAAAATGGAGACATCGAAAATCTAGCAACAGTGTGGTTTATATAAACAGGGCAGTTGTACAGTGTCACAAATCACTAGTTGGCTCAATAGCCATCTTTTCCTCGTAAAGTACTAAAAACTCTGGTTTTTAGCTGGGTACACTGTCACCTAAAATAAACATTTCAGTTCCCATTCTTCCTGGCAGCAGGAATGTTAACAGAAGTGAAGGGTGTACTCCGGATTAAGTCCTTAAAGTTTAGGGGTGTAACTGCCCTACCTTCACCCCCCCCACCATCCCACCTCAGCCCCACCCCATTCCGATTTTCACTTTAAACTGGAAGGGAGACATTTTGGACCATATCAATTAGAGCCACACCTGGCGGCGGGAGAAAATGCAACAGAGCCTGACCCTCTGACAACCCAGCGCAGCGCCCCCTCAAGGGTTCCTACTGCCACAACAGAAAAAGAAAGTTCTCTCTTCTTTAAAACTCTATTACTTGGTGTCTTCTCACGACAACCAAACCTATTTCCTATTAGCAGGAGGAAATATAACGCAACTGTTTAAATTGATGCTTTATGAAGCAGGCTGAATGTCATCAAAGAATATTTATGATATATTAGGTTATACAAACTAGATAATAAATTATATATATATACACACACTATGATCTCCGCATTTTTTTCAAAACTCATGGCAAAAACACTGAAAGAAACTGTGTCAAAATAAAATTATATTTGCATATTTTCCCTTCTATTTGTCTATACTTTCCCAGATTTACTACAGTGTGCATTCAATGTATTGATAATCAAGGGAAGATAAAGGACAAAAATTCTAGTCACTTACATTTTGAACAATCTCCTCCAGCTGGCAGGAATATCCCTCCCTCTTCCTCACGCAGGGTCATTTCATTCCTGTCCCTGTTAAATTGTAAGCAAGCACTGTGTTTTATATAGTAATAATTTTGTTGCACAGAATGTCGTCTGCAGTAGAAATTTTACAAGTATTTAATGAATAAATCATCACAATTATAAATACAGCCAACTTTAGGCAAAAACTTGGCTGCTTTATTTGTACATTCCCAGCATTACATACAACTGGTCACAATCCAACATACTTTATCTTATGATATGAAAACTTAAGAACAATTCAAAATGTATTAGAGTTTAGTTTTACAAATATTTTCTTTCTTAGTATTCACCACTATTCTGTCAAACATGCATTATCATCCCCATTTTATAGAACTAGCAAGTGGCAGGGCTAAGATTGTAAACTAGATCATTCTGACTTCCCCACATTATCCCATCTAACATCTTTTTAGCCAAATATTTTAAACATGCCTTTTAACCTCATAATAGCAGTAGTAGTAATAGATAGCAATTATGTAGGACATACTAACTGCTAAACAGTGCCCTAAGTAATATCATGTATAAGTATATATTCACATATATAATGAAGATTGAAAGAGTGTGTATATGTATATTTCCTGTTTTATTAACTACATTTTTTAAAGATTTATTTATTTATTTATTTATTTATATAAGCACTGGGTACAGTCAGAAGCACGGGAGGGTGAGAGAATTCACCAGAGCCAGAGCGGGGAACAGAACAGGCAGACTGATGAAATACACTGCTGAGGGGAGCAGCGGGCATGGCAGGAGAGGTCTGTCGTGCCATGTGGGACCCTCGCTGGTGGCCGGAGATCAAACCGGTGCTGCAGAGGCTGTGGGCAGCCCAGCGCTCAACAGCTGCGCCACCAGGGGAGGCCCTAACTACTTTTTAATGGCAAAGGAATATATGCCCAAATCTAATCATGAGAGAAACATCAGAAATATGCCAATTAAAGGACATTCTACTGACTAGTAGCCAGTACTGATTAGTACTCCTCAAAACTGTCAGTCATAAAAAAACAAGAAAAATCTGAGAAATTATCATAGCCAAGAAGAGTCTAAGGGGACAAGCAGTCAAATGTGATGTGCTACCTGGATGGGATCTTGGAACAGAAAAAGGACATTAGGTAAAATCTAAGGAAATTGGAATAAAGTATGAAATTCATTTAATAACACTGTATAAATACTGATTGATGCATTGTGACAAATGGACCATATTAATGTAAGATGCTGATAATAAAGTGAACTGGTTATAGATATATGGGACTCTCTGTACTCTCTGCAATTTTTCTAAAATTTCAAAACTATTCCAAAATTAAGATGTTTTAGATAATATACACATTTGAAAAAACTTCAGAGTATAAAATGAACAGTAAGTCTGCATCTTACTTTAGACTTTTATTCCCTTGGTTCCCCTTCCCAGAAGCAATCATGGCTGCCAATGTCATGTCTCCTTCACAAGCACATACAGGTACCTACACTTTTTTAATAGAGATCTTTATTCCTGACTTAAGAATCTAACCCAACAGACTCAAGTTAGTTGACTGCATTAGTTTCCTGTGGCTACTGCAACAAATTCCTACAAAGGTGGTGACTTAATACAATGAAATTTTTTTCTTTCACAGTTCTGGTGGAGGAAAGTTCAAGGTCAGTGTCACTGAACTAAAATCAAGGTGTCAGCAGGAACACGCTCCCTCCAAAGGGGAGATTCCATTCCTTGCCCTCCTCCGGCTCCTGGTGACTGCTGCCATTCCTTGGCTCACAGCCACATCCCCCTATCTCTGCCTCTGTGGTCATGTTGCCTTCTCCTCTTGTTCTATGTCAGTCAAGTCTTCCTCTGTTTCCCTCTTGAAAGGATTACACTGTGATTATGTAGGATTCACTGGATAATCCAGGATAACCTCTGTATCTCAAGCTCTTTAACTCAATCATGCTACAAAGATAATCTTTCAGTATAAGATTTGTGGGTCCAGGGGTTAAAATCTGATAGTTTTAGGGGTTATTATTTGGCCCCCTACAGTAAGTGGTTTAGCTATTTTCTTTTTAATATTAAAGCTTCATTCACAAATTAATGACAATAATAAGAACCAAACTACTGTCTAGAACTTATTCAGTTTTTTAAAAAATGAAGAATGGCTAAAATTCTGATGACTCTACCCTCCCTCAATACTGTCCTTCTAAGTGACTTAGTTAAATTCTCTTTAAGGTGATCCTAAAAGATATGGAATGGTCTCAGGTAATATGCACCTGGTAGTTTAAAGTACCTCAGATATTGTTTTTAATTTTCCTTTCTGTCTTCCCTTTCACAAGGGTAACGTAACTCCCAGTGCTGCTACCAGCCCCTTCCATCCTATTGCATCAGTTTTCAACTGTGGTTGTTTCAGCCTCATTGTCAGAGCAACATGATGAAAGATCTTTAGCATCTGATGCAAGACTCTGCTCCCTCAGTGCCCTGGTGCCCCAACAAGTTGGCGCTGTGTCCCCGTGTAAAAACCAGACTGCTTGTCTGGGGAACATATGCCAGTCCCCGGAGCCCCAGATTCTGATTTTGAAAGCAACCTGCAGGGCTTTACCTGTGAAGCAGAAGAACTCTGCACAGGTTGATGAGGACAGTGGGGAAAGAGGAGAGTGATGTCAGACCCTAGGAGGAGGAAGAAACAAAAACCAAAGACCAGCCTCTGCAGACTTGCCATCCTCTCCTGACTCATTTGCTCCAACCCAAAACATTTGACCTTCCTGGAATTTCTTACCCACTGAGCATGCAGCATGGAGACTCAGTATTTTTGTTTTCTCATATGATCAAGTGTGAAAATGAAGGTTACCATTGAGCCTACCAGGAAAAATTGAGTTCAGAATTCAGCACTTTCCTACATCTTCAGCTTTTACTCATCCTTGCTGAATCCCCTCAGCATTTATTTTGCTGCAGGGAAGGAAGCAGTTAAATTTCCATATGAAACAAATGTCCCCGGCACTTTCATTTACCACTGGTAATTACTGCTCAGGGAAAGGATTTTAAAAATATATAAAGCGTAACATCAATTCCCCATAGCCCACCTGTTAGTTCCTTTCTGTAGCCAGTATCATATCTATCAATATATGTTAAGCCAAGCATGAAAAAGTCAAGAATAAATAACCAATAACTTTATTATTTGGAGTGCTGACAAAGTACATAATAGAGCTATCAACCACCATGTCTTACCAGACTCATCACACAAACACGCCCATCCTCCTGGAGGGCTGGAGGGAGAGGTAATGTATCTAGGGTGCTTCTCGGAGCCTGGCAAGTGGTAAAGACTTGATAAATAGCAGCTACTGCTATTATTAGCATAACAGTGGGGCCCCACATGGAAACTCCATCCAGTATTAGGCAAAGGGAGGGGAAGAAATGAGGAATGCACAGTCAAAAGTTGGGGGGGGGTGGAATATCAGACAAGTTATACGAGTTTGTGTCCATATAACTTCTACCCTAGATGCATAAATATTTTTTTAAGATTTATTTATTTATGCATACAAGAACTGGGGTACAGGCCAGAAGTGCAGTGGGTGACAGATTCACCAGACACAGAGTGGAGAACAGAACAGGAGGACTGACTGAAGCACACTCCTGAAGGGAGCAGCAGGCAAGTCAGGAGAGGTCTGTTGCGCCATGTGGGTAGCTCCCTGGCCAGGGATCGAACTCCTGCTACAGTGGCTGCAAATAGCTTCATAAGTTGCATCATAACCCCCTCCGCCACCACGGAAAACTGATGCATAAATATTTTTATGTGATGTTAGAGCCACCAAATGAGCCAAAATTATCATACTTCTTATTTATATCAAAAAAAATTTTCCAATATTAGAAATTCAGTTAGCTATATTTAATTTTGTTTCTTTTTAAAATAAAAATGGAAAACCTAGGGAATCATTTTTTTTTTCTCCTACTCACCCCTGAGATTAAATCCTGGTATATTATAGTTTCATGGATAATTTGCCTATTTGGAATATCTGAAAAATATGGCTGATTGGGTAAACCAGGTAATCCAGACAACCAAGACCTCCCTCCATAAACAGTAAAAATAGTGAAATTTGCACCATCCACCCTCCCCTTTGCACACAGTGGAGTAAAGTACACAACTGACATTCATCACCAATCTTTCCACAGGGAGAGGGTCCTCATTGTCATTATTCTGTTTACTTCTTTGTGTCCTATATGAGTCCATGGAGGATTTGAAGAGCTTTTCAACATTACACATACAATATTATGATGTAATATAAGTTAGAATAAAAAATCAGTAGCAGGGACAAAAATAAAAGTGGTCAAGACTAGGACAAGACTTTTCCAGGCAGCCAGAGCAGCAACACAGGAGCCAGAGCCCATGAGGCCTGGAGAGTAAGGAAAGGCAGGAGGTGTTGAATCAAGGGGGACTCTGGAGCACAGGCAGACAAAAAGATGAGGCGGAAAAACCTGCAAGTCTAGGCTGGAGGCAGCCAGTAAGCCAGGGATACCCAACTTTGTCCCCATTATTGCAACCTAACCCAATCCCATCCCCATTTAGTGTGGCCCCTGGCAAACACAGATGATTAGTTTCCAGTTGCACATCAGAGCATAGATAGTCAGAGGTACTGAGTAAAGTCAGATAAACAAACAGCAAAGTGAGCAACTGCAGGGCACCTGTGCACAAAGTCAGAATTTCCTCGGGACTCAGGGTCTACTCCAATCATGGCAACATATAAATGCTAAGCTTGTGGCCTTCTATTTCACAGACCTCAACTCTGACACTCTTGGCATGGACTATGCTTAAAGCAGGTGTCACCAATCATTCAGCAAGGTCAAAACAAATTTCAGAAATACCCTCTGAGCAACAACTTACTGGTGAAACTGCCTGAATGAATCAGCTGCATAACATGCCCCAGAGGAACAAGATGAATTTACCCTGTAGTGGTTACTAGTTAGGAAGCAATATATTTTGGAGGACCTCTGCCAAGAGAATAAATTTCATTTTAGAATGGTTAATTTCAAATGGCTCTTAAAAAGAGAAAAACAATTAGCT